TGCGTCCTCGCTCTACTCGCTCTCTCTCTTCTCCTCTCTCTCTCTTCTCTCTTTCTACTCTCTCTCTCTCATCTCTCTCTCTTCTCTCTCTCTCCTTGTGGGGGGGGGGGGGATGGGCGGAGCGCACATGTGTATTTGTGTTGTTCTTTGCTTCCGTCGTCGTGCATGTGTAAGGCTATTCGAAAATCTATGGCCTTTGCCAAGGCGATTGGTTTTGAGGTATTATTGATCACGATTAACGTGGTAGTAAGATTATACTTTTATATCAATATCAAGTGGCGTTTGGCAGGCCCGCTAAGCTAGGGTCAGGTTCTAGGGTCAGGGTCAGGCGTTTAGCGGTAGGGGTAGCGGTAGGGGTAAGAGGTAAGGAGCTCTTGGACATTTGACATATGGATTTGAGGCATTTGAATTTAGGATTGTGCTGTGCCTGCGCGCGCGTGAGTGTATATTATACGTCTGTCTACAGTAGTGCTAAGGGCAGGCGTGTGGCGTGGCGTGCAAGCATTTGGTTAGGTATAGACATTTGGTAGGCGCTGTTAACTATGTGAATGCCTTTGATAATTATTGGCAAGCAGGCGCGTGAGCTTAACACAGCATTGCCACATTTGAAAGTCGTGGTAAGTGATTGGGTTGCCTGCTTAGGCCGCTTTCTCAAGAAAGTGCTGTGGAGTGTCTCGACTGTTTCACTCATAATAAAGCACGCATTCGGGTCAAGATGTTTATATTAAGGTGATATGTTTTTCTTAATTACCTCCGCCCAAGGAGGTATGTAATCGTCTCGTGTGTGTGTTCGCTGTGTGTGTGTTCGTGTATTTTGTGTTGTAGCACTTTCATGTCGTTCGCGCAAGTCGATTCAGCCAGCAGCTTTTCGCCTTAGCGCGATCGATTCAGCCAGCAGCTCGGCCTTAGGCACGTTCGAGTCAGCAGAGCCCTCGTCTTTAGGGTCGTCCGTCCAGTCAGCAGCCAGCTCGCCTTTAGGGGCATTCACTTTCAGCAGGCAGCAGCAGGCGACAGCTGTTATACCATTACATGTTACATGCTGGCGGTAGTTATGCACTCTCCGTGATGTGCCCTCTGTCTAGTTGAGTGATGTGTGTGTGGGTGCCTGTGTGTGTATATGTGTGACTGTGTGTGTGGTGTGTGTGTTTTGTATGTGTGTGTGTGTTGTGTCGTGCCGTGTGTCGTGTGTGTGTGCGTGTGCTGTGTGTGCGTGTGTGTGTGCGTGCTACATCGCGCATCTGGTGTGTGATGGTGTGGTTGTTTCTGACGATACCCCCTGATTGCCCCGTCGGCGTACTATGAGGCCCTGACTTGGCTGGCTGCTACGAGGCTGCTGATTGGTCAATTGCTGCTGAGGCTCCTGATTTGGCCGGTTGTAAGAAGGCCCCTGATTGGTCCGCTGCCTACGCGCGGCCCCTGCATTGGTTGGCTGTCCTACGCACGGCCCCTGTATGGTCCGGGTTCTACAAGACCCTGATTGCGTCGGCTGTACAAGGCCCCTGATTGGTCCGGGCTGCTACGACGGTTCCTGATTGGCAGGCTGTTACGAGGCTCCTTATTTGGTCGGCTGGTAGGAGGCCCCTGAATTTGCCGGTCGGTTGATAGCAAGCCTCTGATTTGGCCGGCTGTACGGAGGCTCCTGCATGGTCGGCTGGCGAGGAGGCCCCTGATTGGTCGGCTGCTAGCGTAGCGCCCGCTGATTGGTCGGCTGCTACGAGGCCCCTTGATTGCGTCGGGCTGCTACGGAGGGAGAGAGAGAGAGAGAGAGAGAGAGAGAGAGAGAGAGAGAGAGAGAGAGAGACGCAGGCACGCGCATACATATACCAATATAATAGTCAAATATATTATGTCACAGACGAGGACGGGGTTTTTCACGAATATGGCTGGACTCCTGGTAGCACTCCATCGGACTATTCCTATTTTACATACTTACACACATCAATATTCTCGGTGATACTATAGATTTCACACCACGTGGTATTTCACAGGATTGAAAAACTTGCAAAATAACCGAGCCTATGTGCCAACTAACTTCATGAAACATAACTTACCTTGGTTGAATGTACAGGACTGAAAGCCTTCCCTGATTTTAAGTCCACTCTGGCTGTATGTCAAGCGTCACTGCATTTCTGGCGTTGTTGTACCTCAACTCTAGTTTAACGCCTGGCGTTGATGTTTGCATGCCCATCCTGGTTGTATGTCCAGGCGTAGCACAGCGAGGGCCTCTTATCAAGCGATAAAATTGTAGCAGTCGCTCAAACGCCTTATATGCAGACCCTCCAGACAACAGACAGTGTTTATGCAAAGAAGCTAACACCAAACAATTTACGCGTCTCGTCGTCACTTCGACTGTTGCAATAACAACAAACGCCTAGACGCGCATAGATGTCTATATCGTTACGCAAGCCACGTTGGTCCACGCACACACAAACACACACACACACACACACACAAACACACACACACACACACACACACACACACACACACACATACACTAACACACCACGCACGTCCACACGCACACACCTGCGCGCACGTACGTATTGACATGTTTTAATATTCATGATATACGCGCAAAGTGTCCTTAACACCTATAACCTGCAGTGCACAGATAAGCGTGTTGGGTATGATTGCATGTATAAGATTACTTGAGTGGTATTTGCCTGGCATTATTACGCTATAAAAATTATATTGACACGTATAGTAGTCAATATGATTTGTTCATAATTACTATCATTTAATTATTATAGCTATTTAAACGGCCCAATTGCCCGAGGCGCGATAAATCATCTGCTACGAAAGGCACAATATAAGAAAAATCGACGCCGACACAGGTATGGTGGTTGTTAGACAGTGTCCACATTATAACAGAACTAATAATGTACACATTATTATGACAATAACTCAGACATGAGACAGTGCATTCAGCCGAACTTACAAGTAGGGGATATTGGCGTCACTTAGTGCTTAATCTCTAACCCTAACACTAGCTCTAATTTTGACTTATACCCCTAACCCTAATCATCCTTCCTCCAAAATTAGAGGCAGCAGGATATAATAGTCTGTCGTCCTCATTACATCCTGCATCCCTGTATTGTTAGTGTACCGGCACCGGTAGCATCATTATCATAGGTAGCATTGTTTCACAGGCGTGTGCATTATATTCTGCACCCGGGATGCACAATATAATGGGGATGCAATCGCTCACGCTACACTGGCGGTGATGTGCAGTACGTTTTCTCTCGACGAATGAGGAGCCAGATGTCTCCCGCATAAACGCGTCGATGGTCGTACTTGGTACGCTTGAAAGCGGAAGGTGTCGGGTTTGATTGACAGAGATGATGCTTTTTTTTACAATTATTTATACAATTTTTTTAATTTTGTTTTTTTCAACGTCTATTCTTACTAATTAAGATTTTTATCGTTGTAATAGAGGTTTAAATTTGTATAATGAAACTGAAACCAATCATATATTATTTTGAACTAAATATCAGTATAACACTGATTATTGTAACATTTTGTAAGGCAAAGTTAGGTTCTACTCTCATTTCCTTAGTAATAGTTACTTAATATTTTTTGTCCATAAGTATACATCTTTATTTCAATCAATACACTCTACTACAACATATAACTAGACAGAGGGCACTCACGGAGAGTGCATACCTCCGCCAGCATGTACAGCACGAAAAGTGGAACACACAAAGACACGAAGACGATTGATCGACAACATGTACACGAAAACACGAACACACGAACAAACAAAATAAATCCCAATATTATACTTTACCCCATGCATTGATCACAACTACATGGCATCAAGACGGATGGACACCATATCATGGTCTGAATAGTATACATCGAGAACCTCAGCAGCTACACCGACAGTTCTAGTTGCAGTTTCTAGTAGTTCTAGCATGTAGTAGTAGAATCGCTGAAATATTGATTGTTGCGCGCAAGCGAGCGAGCTGCTGCTGGCTGGACGTTCTAAGGCGAGCTGCTGCTGGCTGGCCGGCCTAAGGCGAGCTGGTGCTGAATCGATCGCGCCAACGCGTGTAACATGTATCGTGCTCGCTGCTGGCACACACACACACACACACGAACGCATCACACGAGAGGGATCACATTACCTCCCCTGCAACTCCGTTGCAGCGGAGGTAATTATCTCATACGCACACGCACACCC